TCTGAATTGGCCGAATCAATTCAGAGCTTTTACTTGGATTCCCAATTCAATTTGGAGATTCAGTCCCTGAATCGGGCCATATCTCCTCTGAATTGAATCAGCTACCAAAGTGCACATAAACCAGTTTGAAAATGGATGACACCACTTTGAGATAAACCTGGTTGAATGTAGTATCAGACTTAACTGATTTGGGTCAAACAAGTTTATGCAATGTCCCACCCACTCTGGTGCCAACTATCTTGCACCAACTATTTCCCACTATGGCGCCAACTACCCTTACAGGATTCCTCCCATCAGGTAGCTGACTTCAACCATCATCATATCAGACTGCTGGCAAACTGACCCCTTAATCTCTTGCCAGTGGTCTGTCCCTTGAGAGACCTTTGCTTCCTTGAGCCCAGCCCCACTCTCCAGCCAGTCGCAGTGTCAGGCTCTCCGCAGCACCGGCTGACCCCTCGTAGTAGGCGCATATGCCCTTTGGCCACTCCTGGGCCCTGGCCCCAGCCTGGGCCAGTCAAGAGCCCTGGGATCAGTCTATGAGCACCTGACTCTCTCACTCTATAGGAGTCCCCTCACTGGGGCCCTTCCATAGATCAATCCTTTCACACTGGGCTTACCTGGAGCCCCACGGATCTTATACAAAACAGCCCTTTACTTCACTAGGCTCATCTGAACCCCTCACTGGGCCCTACCAGTATCAGTTGCACTTCATGGGTTTCCCCCCAGACCTTTCCTAGGTTGCCCACACATCCTGCTGTTCCATTTAGCGCTTGCCTAGTCCCTTAGCAGGCCCACAAACTCCAAGTCCCTTCTGCTCAGGCTGGCCTGTGCCTTCTCTAGGCCCTGGTATATCCTGCCTCTCTCACTAGGTCATCCGGGCCTCTTTCTTGGGCCTATGTATACACAGCCCCTTGCTATAGGCTGGCCTCTCCAGCCTCAGGCACTCAGCCCCTTTCCCAGGGCTCTGGACCTCCCTGGGTCCCTAAGAATCTCCTCCTTCCCCATAGTTTGTACCCTAACCTCCAAATGTTCCAGGAGCAACAGATTTCTGACTTAGCAATCTTACATCAGCAGCACCCCTGCAGCAACTGCCAGCTCTGCTCTCCAGGCCTGGTCTTATACCCAGGCTGCCCAGCTCTCCACCAATCAGGCAGCTTCCTGGGTGCCATGTGACTGGCTGATTGGGTCTGCTCCCACCTGCAAGCTGGTCTGAAGCCTGCTCAAACCCTGAAAGTGGCAGTACCCAAAGGTTCTCTGCCACACAACTCCTTGGCATACATGCAGAGCCATAGAAGGTAGTCAATAGTCTCTGTGGTGCCTTGGCAGATTGCTCTCAGGCAGTTCAGTCTACCCTGCTGCCCCTCTCTGTGTGTCTGTGCCCTCACTGGGAGGGGTTGGTGGGTTACCAGCCAGTTCAGGTATATACTACAGACTTTTATTTTATTTTTATTTTTTTGTAAAAGTATATTTCTCTCTATATATGATTATATATATATATACTCTCTAACACGTTCCATCCCAAAAAGGGTTAAAACTGATCCCATTACAGAAAAACTGCACCCGCGCACCCGTACAAAGGCCTGCTGGCCACCCGTACCTGTTACAATGTCCGCAACCGCGCGCAACACACACAAACTACACACTCAGTCCTTTCTGATCTCTCCAACCAGCCTCGCTTCATGTCCACCCATCCCCCACTTGTGGGGTCAGGTACTCAGTTCACAGGGTCTCTTCATCATTGTTGCTCCGGCTTCTGCTGGAGGACCCACTGCTGCTGCTGTTGTCACTGTTGCTATCCTCCGTTCCACTCGTCTGTTCCTCTTCTCTGCTGTTGTTGCTCTCTTCTTGTCTTGGTGGGGGTTGTATGGTCCTGCGCCACATCCCTGTGCCAGGTGGCATCCGCTGCATCTTCTCCATTCTCTGCTACCACTTTCTGGTAGTAGGTCTGGAGTTTGCTCAGTGCCATCTTCATGCAGTCCACTACCTCTCCATCCATTTGTCTGTACAGGAGCAGATCTCTGGCCTTCCACAAGATGTTCCTGACACAGGATGCAAACTGGTCAAACCGGAGCAATGGGCTCCCCTGGTTTTTGGTGAGGTGCCTGTACAGCATGGCCTCACTGGTTAGCCGGCTGACACCGATCACCATTTCGCAAAGCTGCTGCACCCTCTTCCATACCTCCTTGGCATGGGTGCAGAGCCACAGGAGGTGCTCTATTGTCTCAGTGGCCCTATGGCAGTTGGGCCATGGGCAGCTGGATCTCCCCACCCACCCCTCTTTATGTCTCCAGGCCCTCACCAGGAGAGCTCACTGTGCTATCAGCCAATTTAGGTATTTTTTTTTTTTTTTTTGTAAAAATATATTTCTCTCTATATATATGGTTATATATATCTAAACCAATCCCGTTACAGAAAAACTGCACCCGCACAAAGGCCCACTGGCCACCCATACCCATTACAAAGTCTGCAACCACGTGCAAAACACACAAAATACACACTCAGTTCTTTCTGGTCTCTCTGACCAGCCCTCCCTTCATGTCCACCCGTGCCCCGCTTCCGGGGTCAGGTACTCAGTTCACAGGGTCTCTTCATCATTGTCACTCCAGCTTCCACTGGAGGACCCACTGCTGCTGCTGTTGTCACTGTTGTTATCCTCCATTCCACTCGTCTGTTCCTCTTATTCGGTGCCGTCATTTCTTCTTCCCTTGGTGGGGGTTGTATGGTCCTGTGCCCCATGTCCCTGTGCCAGGTGACACTGGCCACGTCTTCTCCATCCTCTGCTACCAATTTCTGGTGGTAGGTCCAGAGTTTGCTCAGCGCCATCTTCACGCAGCCCACTACGTCTGCGTCCATTTATCTGTAGAGAAGCAGGTTCCTGGCCTTCCAAAAGGTGCTCCTGACACAGGATGCAAACTGGTTGAACCGGAGCAAGGGGTTCCCCTGGTTTTTGGTGAGGTGCCTGTACAGCACAGCCTCACTGGTCAGCCGGCTGATGCCAGTCAATGCTTCACAGCACTGCTGTACCCTCTTTCATACCTCCTTGGCACGGGTGCAGAGCCACAGAAGGTGCTCTATTGTCTTGGTGGCCCTGTGGCAGTTGGGCCATGGGCAGCTGGGTCTCCCCAGCTGCCCCTCTCTATGTCTCTGGGCTCTCACTGGGAGAGCTCGGTGGGCTATGAGCCAACTGAGGTCCCTGTGATCTTTGTGCAGTTCCTTGCAGTGGATGCACTCCCACACGGCTTGGCATGCATTGCCCGGGAGCAGGTCCACAGGTGACATGGTGTCCCTTCATCTCACCATCTCCTGGATTTCCTGTGGCTTTTCATGGTTGCCGGGCCTGCATTCTGCAGGCTGTACATGTCGCAGCATCAGTTCAAGATCTTGTAGAACCACGGTGATTCTGTGATCTATGGCCTGTGGTTAGTCGGGGTGAAGACCCCCTAGTATCTCAGAATGTGCCCTGCAAGGTACCTCATGAGACATGCCATTTTGGTGTCTGCCTCTGTCACCAGCTTACAAATCGTGCTCACGTACTTGGCCCACAGGAACAGGAGGATCTCTGGCATGCCCCTGCCCTCAGCCCTCTTGTCCTTGCACAGCGTCTTCCAGGTGACCTTTTCCCATCTGGAGCCCCAGAAGAAAATGAACACAGCCCTCTGGATCCTGTGGGTGACACGCTCAGTAGGGGGGGGAAGACCAGTGCGGTGTACAGAAGCACCGGTAACAACACTGCCTTCATGAGCACAACGCACCCCCCCCATGGAGAGGGAACGTAAGTGCCACAGCCCCAGTTTCTGTTTTGCCTTGGCCTCTGTCTTCTCCCATGCTGTTCTGCCACTCAGCTCCAGGTCAAAATCTATCCCCAGGATCCTGATCCCCTCGCAGGGAACAGAGACCCCCAGGGGTTTCAGGTCCCTGACCTCACCCACGGCCAGGCAGGTGCTCTTGCTGATGTTCAGCTTGGCCCCTGCTGCCACCTTGCATGTGTGCCAGGGCTGTGGCAACCGACCCCCTGTTCTGGCACAGGATGTTCAGATCGTCCATGTAGTCCAGGACCTTGGCCTCTCAGTTACTGCTTGTGCCAGGGGTACAGGTTTGGGAAGAGAGGGAGCCTCGCCCTGAGGCAAAACCCCAGCCAGGGAGAAGAAGGAAAATATAGGCCTACCTGTTCCAGGGGCCAGGAGGAGCAAGGAAGCCCAGGATGGGGAACCACCCGTGCGGTTCATAAGCCACGCCTATGTACAGCTGAGACCAGGTGATGTCATGGGGAGACGTCACCGGGCAGAGATTAAAGGAAGCCGCAAAAGTGCAGGAAGGTTGCTGAGGGCCAGGGAATGGGCAGGAACCCACCAGCCAGGAGGAGGCCAGCCACGGCGGGCGGCTGACAGCTGAGGCAGCACCAGAACTGGCACTGGCACTAGCAGCCGTGGCAGGAGCAGCAATGGCAGCCGCGACTGTAGCGGCCGTGGATCCAGCACTGGCACAAGCAGCCGCGGCAGAAGCGGTGACAGCAGCAGTGGCTGTAACAGCCAGGGAGGCAGCTGGGAGCCTCTGACCCTGGGAAGCCTGACGGGGACTGAGGTCACTGGCAGAGAGGCTGGCAGAGGCAGCAGCAGCAGTGTCCAGAGCAATGGGAGCAGCAGGAGATCCCCAAGCCAAGGATCAGCAAGGATTGGAGACGCTGGCAAGGAGGCTGGCAGGAAAGCCAGCAGTGGTGACCGCAGCAACAGCAGCAGGAGCAGCAGGGAGCCCCAAGCCAGAGAAGCCCAGCAAGACCCAAAGGAGCTGATGAAGGAGCCCGTGGTAACCCTGGGGCAGAACGGGGGCCAAGCCTATCTGCAGGCATTGGGGACGTAAGCCCAAGTGGAAGCAAGACTTGGAGAGGGGAAGAGAGGGGTCACAGCTGGGGCTAAGGCACGGGTCCCAACCCTCGGGGTGCTCTAGACTTAGGGCACCAAGGGTGTTAAGGGGTATGGAGCGCAGTGGGCGCTCTATTTCCTCTTGGGTCCTTCCATCTTTTCCTTTTGTTCTTTAATTCATTTTTCTTCCTTGGGCTACACCTCACCAGTAGACACGGTGGAGGGTTTGTTCAGTCGGGGTCACAACGGGTGTTTTAGGGAAGTGGGACGAAGCTCTCAGCATTAAGCAAGGGTGGCCTGGACCTTGGGGGAGAGAGAGAGAGAGAGATGACAGGTCAGAAGACCGAAGATCTCCAGGCCCACCCACCAGAGTCCGACCAGAGGTCCAGGGTGATCATCATCGTGAGGTGATGTGGAGGCCCGAGAAGACATCTGAGGGGCTGGTTGCGAACAAGTTCAAGAGGCCCGCCTCACAAAGGTGGCACATGGCCGGGGTGTAGGGAAGGTTGGAGCCCTGTGAGCACACGCCGAGTTGCATGACGTCCCTGGAGGCAACTCAAAAGGGGACCCCCCTCCACTGAAGATTCATCCAAAGTCATGGCAGACAAGTTAGGGGTCTCCCAGAAGATGACTGGAGTATTCTCTGGTGTCTGCACGTGGGGCTGAGGCAAACAAGATCAATTGCCCAGGTGAAGGCAGCGCAGGAACGGACCGTAAAGCGGAGGCGGGTACACTGCTTCTGGGGATGTGGGCTCTGTTTATCCTCTGGTCTTGCCTCAGGCGCTGGGCTAGTGGCTCAATGGCGCAGATGAACAGGATCGGGGAGAGTGGGCAGCCCTGCCAGACTCCCGACCCCACCGCAATCTGTACACTCAGGAAGCTGTTGATCTGTACTTCACAGCTCACTTCTGTATAGAGGGTCCTGATCCATCCAACCAATGTTGATGGCACTCCCATCTGCTCCAGCACCTGGGACAGGAACAGGCCTTCACCTCCAGCATGGCTTCCCTCATATCCTGCCCCACTGCCACCTGCCTGTGCAGGTCTTGTAATTTACAGGTCAGGCACTCATGCCAATTTAGGTATATACTACAGACCATGTATAATATTAATCCAAAACAAAAAAGCTATGATTCACCATATAATTCTTTGGGCTGGGCCCCAGGAAAGTTGACAGCAGTTCAAGCCATGGTGACCGCACCACTCAGCATTGCTCAGTATGTTCTTGTATTCCAAATACCCCCCACAAAGGATCCATGTGCTAATTAGCACTCCTCCTTCCCAAATGCCCCCACACTCATGACTGGAATCAGGTGTTCTTGTCATGAGTCCAGGGAGCATCCAAAATGTATATGCAAATGAGCCACAGGGCAACCTGGCCCAGCTCCACTGATGAAGGGTGGGGCCACACTTATCATATGTGACAGACAGAGAGGGGGTGACAGAGGGATTCTTGGGTGAACTGTTTGGGTCCCTGTTTCATGATGTTTGCCAGACATTTAAGGCTGGTGAAAAACAGGAATAACTGGAAATGGGAAAGAAAGGCATAGCTCAGTTGTGGGAGTGAAGAGGAAGTCAAAGTGTATTGGATTCTGTGGCTAATTGTGACTTGAAAAAGAGTTAGTAATGAGGGGGACTGAGCATAATGGACACTACCATATATTATATCCAGATGGACTGTACTAATTCTTGAGGTAGGTTCCCATCAGCATTCAAAGTCTGATCTATGCCTTAAAGGCAAAGAAAGGGACTGACAGAGCACAGGGGTGTAAGGAGGGGAGAAGCTCAAATGTCGGTGGAGAAAGTAAGGGACAAATATGGTATCTGGGTGGGGTCTTGGAGGGCATGAGAAGTGTTACAAGCAGATGAGTGGAGCCCAGGTAGGGTGCTGCACCTCCTGTCAACAATCCAGATCTGGACACATTGGAGTTTTATAATGAACCACAGGCAACCAAAACAGTGCAGCAAATGTGGAAAGGTGGGGCATCTATCTGTATACTGTCCCCTTACAGTGTGCTGCAGATATGAAGGGATGGGGCACAGAGCAGCAGAGTGCCAGGAGTCTCTAAAATGCACTGTTTTTAAAGGACAGGAACACTTGTATTGCCAGTACCCCAAAGCCTTTCCAAGAATAGTTAGACCCCCTTGAGGAACAGCAAAACCCAGCAGAAGAAAGTGGAGGAGAGGCCGGGGTAGGCACTGAGATAGAAATGGTGGGAGAAACCCCACAAGAGGGTGAAACAGGAGGGGGGCAAAATATCTGTGACTGAGGCAGCACAGAAGCAGATAGTAAATGGAATGAAAGGGATAGCAGGAACAGCAAACAGCTCAGATGTGGGGGTGGGGAAGAAAGAACAGAGGTGGAGATGGAGCAATAGAAAGACCAGATGGGGCAGGCTGGGAAAAGAAAGGCAATGCAGGGGCTGAATTCCAGGAAGAAGAAACCTGATAATGAGGGAGATGAGTCAGAGGAAGAGGCAGAGAGCAGTTTCCTGCTGCTAGCACCTCTGGGCTGAAGCCCAGAGTACAGATCAGAAGGCAGCAGGAAGCCGGGGGGGGGGACATGCAAGCCTTCCTGAATGTCAAAGCAATCCTGCAGCTTGCAAAGGCTACAAGAATGCAAGTGAAGGAGGGGGAGGAGTCAATAACTCTGAGTAGGAGCACAGGCAGACCTTAAAGGGACAGGCACACTCAGGTCAAAGCAAGCACAGGAAAACCGCAAAAAGGGACAAGAGCACTCATTTTAAAACAAGCATAAATGGTACTGACAATAGTTTCACTTAGCATCAGGAGTATCTTAACAAGGAAAAGATGGGAACAGACTAAA